CTCAATGGGGATTATTTACGACATAAAAGTTAAAACAATGATTCCGATAACTTTTTGAATAAAAGAAAAACTATTTATTTATTAACTACCGTTGTGTTTAATTGGATTATTAAATTAGAAATTGATTTATTTAAAATGGGTATTATGTTTCACATCATTTAAATGTTGGAATCTAATGTTCAATTAATCAATGGTACAAGCTTAGAGTTATTGTTATCATAGAGAAAATATTGAGAAAGTTTTTGTCATAACTTGTGAATCTGTGTACCCTGTTTATTGTATAACGCAACGATACCGCCAATCAGAGAGCAACGAATTATCGACCGAACCAGTGACGCATAAAACACGTGCGAGTAGCCCAGAGCCCTGATTAGTCCTGCTTTCCGCCTAGCCCAGCCAGTTAAGTCCAGAACACCAATCTCAGCCTCTGCAATATGAATTATTTATTTCAAACATACTCGGTTTATATACCAATCAAACAGACCACAACGTACCATAAAATAGAACATAACATTTGTACAATATTTGGCCAAAAGTGGCTGTGAATGATGGATGTAGTGATTAACAAACAGGAGATAATTCAAGAATGGTAAATCGTGTAATAATAGTTCATAGGTCAAAATAAAACTCATAATAACAGGGACATTAATATGAACAGTTTAGTTACATAACAATTACACGATAAAAATATACTCATAGGTCCATAAATGGATCCCAAAAATTACCATTCATTATTCTTATCGGGATATAACAGTTTTAATTTTCAAAACTATCTTATGAATTATTATCTATATTTCTTATGGTATAATTATTAGATATTTGAATTGCTGTGCATTTATATTTTCTCTATTTCTTATATTTTATTTGGTGTATAAACTACTGTCAACTTCGCCCGTGGCTCTTCCCGAGTTACTGCCGGGGAGGGTTGAGCATGGGGTTAGCGACCCCATCTCGTAGAAAACCAACTCGCTAAAAAACACTAACCAGAAAAAATAAACTATTGTGGAAGATCTTAACTTCCTCAGGCTATTTTTAGTTAACTACAGATTCATCACTTGATTTTTCTTTCATGTGTTGTGTCATCACACGTACATTATAATTTCTTATTTGTGTTAATATATGGTTAGGAAATTCCACTATATAAGTGAATAAGTTGATTCATACAAGTGAATTACTCCAAAACAAAGATATCTATTTGTTAACTCGGTCTTCTGATTAAGCACTCGGTAAGAAGTAGTTAGAGAACTAATAAGCGTTAAAGTCTCGGTCATTATTGACTGGTTACTGTGCCAATGGTAAAACGGGAGTTTATTAGTCCTACTGCAGATGGCACAGAACAGAATTAAACATTACGAAACTAAATAACCAATAGTGGTGATTATGAAGAATACAGATTACAGACCCATAACGGACTTAAAGATGTAAAAGCTTAGGAATATAAAATGTATATATAAACAATACTATTTGGAGTTATTTTTAACATTAAGATTGATAAGGTAGGACACACTACTTATCGATAAAAGTAGTTCAAAATCATTTGAATTTAACATTAGCTTTACATGATTACTCAAAATTCAAGAGCTAAACATCGTTTACACTTAATTAATTAGGATATTTTATTGTTTCCAGCCCAGATATATCCATAATATTGCCTAGTATGTTGTAAATATATTATTTTGAATGGAAAGAAAATGATCTTATTATTATGTGTCGCATATGCTCAAGATATCACTTTTCTACTGACAAAAAAGCTGATGTAATGGGCTGCAATATATATGAAAAGAATGTTATGGGGCTAAGACTAGTCGTAAACAATTGCAAATGGAAATGTATGACTGCTAATCACTGTCTAGAAACGTTTTAAACATTTTTTGGATACTCACCAGTTAAACCCCTATAAAACAAGAAGTTGCTGAAACACTGTACAGTTCAAGTTAAGAATTCTTTATTATAATCAAATACATGGCACTGAATTAAGTGGTTATCATTATCATGCGATTCAATAATCAGGAAACAAGTACAGTGCTGTTGAATAAAAGTTTCACAAATAAAATTATAAAGCCAGTGATAAAATTGCTAGTCTATATCATATACCTGTAAATAGTAGTAATACGTATCTAAACCATTGTTACACAAGAAGTAACATGTATAGTTAATCTTTGACCAGTCTTCCAACCAAAAGGTGGATGGTAACAGACCTCAGCGGACAAGTTAGATAATTTCATTTAAGTAAGATTATTTTAACAGGTATTTTTCTTGATTAGAACAATTCGTATAACGATAATTAAAATTTCATTATTTCCTTTATTATTACAACTCTTGTTAAAGCTTACTTTAACTTCAACGTATATTGTTAATTCGAGTAGTTTGTCTGGTCACTTTAATGGTAGCATTAAACATATGAATTACTTGATATTTAAGTAAACTTTTGAGAACATTAATTTATTATTGTTTAAGATTAAAAGTGAAATAATAAGGCTAACAAAAAACAAAGTGATGCAAAAAAGTAATAGTAAATATATGTTTTAAATATGTTGTGATATTCTTGACTAGTTAAGAGAATATATTTTTCAGCAGTAACATTCATATGACCATTAGTTTAGTGTCACATTGTAAGGTCAAAATGATATGAGTTTGCAAATGATAAAATTAATTTCAATAAAATCTTATATTTGAAAATATGTGAATCAGTGGGGGAATTATATTAGTCACTTAATCAATACGGATGAGTCAAGCCATGTAGTCTATCTACTCAATTACAAATCAAACCATTAACTCGGTTTCTGCAAAAATACAAACATTTTCCACATAAGTTATGTTATCATTCAAGGCTAACTTAGATAATTTAAGTGCTACCAAATGCTCTAGTACGGCCGAGAGTGGGGAGAGTCGGTTCTTCCTCTCGAAATGCTCTCACATGACCACGTGCATACAACTAATGCCAGGGAAGTCCTACTCACTGCCTTCTCGTGGCGGGGCTGTTGCTCACAAAATTGAGAGGACGAAAAGCGAATATCCAGCTCTTTAACAGGATTGGTGGACACGGAGAGTTCACCTAGGGGAGTTGGAAAACCCTGACTCCAAACCAATGGTGCACATAGGCTCCAGTATCCTGAAGGAACAAATGGCGTATGAACCTATTGTTGGTCACTGGCTACCATGGGATTGCATCTCCTGACGTTGCTCCACTGCCTTGTGGATCAGACCGTTAGATCGACGGCTCCGAGTGTGGCCCCCTAAGAGAACCACCTTCTTCGGTTTGGGCACTCGAGCAGTATCACAGCCCTTGTACAAATCAAATGAGATTTGTGTGGCGCACATATATTTGGTGCCTCCTTGTACCAATATCTATGTGTTCAAATAAAATAATAAATAAGGAGACGTTTTAAGTAATATAGCAGCCAGAACCAGTAATATAAGAACAAGGGATGTCCTGACAATGTGAGAGACCGAAAAAGCTAGTCAAATAGCTGAGAATATGAGGAGACACAACTTGGCACTGCTCTTAATAAGTGAAGCACATTGGACCCAAGCTGGACACAGAAGATTAGGCCCAGGAGAGGGGCTGTTGTTTCTTGGTAATCAAGAAAAAGTGCTTCACATATACAAAGGGTTACAATGATGCTGTCCAAAGAAGCACGACAAACACTTACAGGATGGGGATCTCAAAGATCCAGAATTATCAGTGTTCTTCAAAACGAAGAACGAGGAGGCTAAAACGTATATTATCCAGTATTATCTGTCTACCAGTGATAGAAATGAGGACAAACAATATCAGTTTCACTAAAGGCTACAATTGGTCATAGCGAACTGCTCAGGAAAGGACCTGATCATCCTGATCGAAGACCTAAAGGTCAAAATCGGAATGGACAACAACGGGTATGAAGATATCATAGGACGATATGGTCTAGGAGAAAGAAACGAGGATGGTGAGAGGTTTGCAGATCTATGTGCATCCAACAAATTGGCTATAAGCGGCACAATATTCCAACACAAACGCATACACAAAGCTACATGGGTCTCACCGAGTCACACCACGGAGAACCAGATAGATCATATTTGTATCAATAAAAAATTCAGAAAAACAATAAAAGACATGAGAACCAGAAGAGGAGCTGACATAGCTTTAGATCACCACCTGGTTGTGGCCAAGATTAAGCTGAAGTTAAAGAAACACTGGTCAACTGGACAAACAGCATTACAAAGGTTCAATACAGCTTTCCTATGAGATACTAACAAACTCAAACAATTCAAGTTCGCTCTAAACAACAGGTTTCAAGCCTTACAAGATCTACTCAAAGGAGAAGAAACTACTACGGAGAACAACTGAAAACGGATTGAAGAAGCACTAACTTCAACGTGTCATGAGGTGTTGGGTCACAACAAGCAACATCATAAGGAATAGATCTCCATCCAAACCCTGAACAAAATTCAACAAAGGAAGAACAAGGAGATGGCAATCAACAACAGCCGAACAGAAACAAATAAAGTCAAGGCACAAACTGAATACACAGAAGCAGACAAGCAAATGAAGTGGAGCATTAAAGCCGACAAGCAAAAATAGAACTAGCAAAGACTGCAGAACGAGCTTCGAGGAAATATGAGACAACTGTATGACCCAAGAAGAAAGTGGTAGGGAAATATGGTAAGCCAGAGAAACCGGTCAATAATAAAAGAGGCAAACCAATCCCTGGAATTCAAGGAGAGATCGATGAAAACTTTGGATAACGCTTGAATAAACTAGCCCCATTGAGTCCACCGGACATAGAAGCAGCACTTTGTTTTGCATATAAAGTATTCGTGATTCCCAGCAAGTTTAAATTGAAAAAAAAGTTTCGAAGTTAAAAATTCTCTTCTCAATTCTTGGATATTTATATCAAATGACGAAATACACCTTAAAAGACTCGGTACCCATTATTCATGGTATTAAGTATACATACATTTATATAAGTAGGATAAATCGTATGTTATTGCAGTAAGTATAAACAGTTTCAAATTACCGGTGAGTAGGAGCCTTTCTTCTGGTTTCCCACAAGAAACATTAACAACCGTGTCGAACAGATATGCGCGACCTTGACTTCCTTGAAATGACTTGGAAATAAGATCTTGATGACGAGCAAGGTGAGCACGACAATGTACACAGCTGTATGTACGGTCATCACTATCGCTACTGTTACTACAACTACTGTTGCTGCTGTTGCTTCGTGTTGAGCTGTTTCCTTGTGCTCCTAAGTAGACTTGAAATGTCTTTACCATGACAGTGGTCTGGTGAGAAAAATCACGAAAAAACCGTTTGTGATTAAATAAAGGAAATAGGTCTTTGGAGATGTACAGAAATTATGCGCACAGAAGAATCTGAGTTAACATTTACGATTACATACATAGTCTAGTTCATATCCTAGAGCTGCTAAAAATGAATAGCTAGGTTCGAAAGTTGAATGAATAGCAGACGTCAGTACTTTCCCAGTTTATAATTTGAGCACATACTAATCATGTTATTTTGTGATTGCGCAAAGCAAATAAACTGAGTTTCTTCTTGAATCAATAAATAGATGATAGATCTGAACTGTGATGTAATCAGCTTAAAAAACTACAGGGTATTAAAAGACTTTAGTCGCGTCATCGCATAGCGCTTCAAAACACTGAATATGCAGGTGGTGCTACAAAAGCCCACATAATAAGACAAGTTTGCTTGTAGAACCCTATCACCTTTTGATGAGTATGTCACTGATGTACGGTACATTAAATCTCATTACTAAAACACACATACAAGTTCCTTAATCTTTTAGCTTAAATGGCTCCAGTGCCACGGATGGTGTAATCTCGTGAAACTCGAATCTTTCGCAAATTTTCTTTGATATTAGATGAAAATAACATCCCAGAATAATATGGATTATAGCCAAATATCGTTTATTGACAATGGTTCTACCTATATTATCAGTACACAATCTCGGTCTACCTTAAGTTCCTGAGCTTATATAATATAGACATGATCGCTTAACCTAAATAATACAAAGAATTAGCAAACTGAATATGTACAGCCAGCATTCTGAGTTTTGAATGTGCTATTTATGAACAACATGATATCCACCTTAAACCTGTGATAAATTGGCCAGTAACAATAGCTCATTGGTTATAGCGTCGACCTATAAGTCGACGAAATCATCAAAATGAATTTTACCGCAAAGATTTTTCCGATAATTAATACTCTCAAACATTGAGGACCCCGAAATCGGATAACAAAACATGTCGTTTTATACAATTACTGGATATATCGCCCTATAAAAGATGGGGTTATATTCTGCCAAGAATAATGGAGATATAATCATCAATTACAAAGCAATAATTTGTGGAACGACAAATCCGTCATAAGATTTTACCTAAATAACGAGTGTTTTGAGGGTAAAGTATAGTTAATTGAAATAAGTAAGCCGATAACTCTTCAGACATTTGAAAAGGAGCTTATAAACAGTATCTAAAACCTTTTGATTTTACGAATTAAAATACTTTAAGCAGACTAGCGTCTGATTTAAATAGCTAGGTCGGTACGTATAGTTAACAAGATTAATACAAAGTTGTAGTATGATCAGAATATGCGTAGCCATCCCGTAAGAAGTCGAGTTATTCCCAAAAAAATGTACTAGAAAAAGAGAAGCATAATTGAGAAAAACCGAAGAATGTATCCGAATACACAGTCATTTACATCTATACCCACCCATTAGCAATTTACAGTTCAGGAATCTATGGGTAGAAACATTTACCTTTAAGAATGAAACAGAAAGGCTGGGTAAATCACTTTGATAGTTATTCCAGCTTGTGTTTTACACTATTTACACATTTACTGCGACCAGTAACCAGATTTCGTCTGTGCGATTCAACAGAGTTAAAATAAGTGTAAATTCAAATAAAGAGATGTCTAGTGCGAAAAACTTATCGGACGTCAGTGTTAATTGTTTTTAAAAGCATAAAGTGCGATAGACATTTACCTATTTCATCGAAATCCTCGACCTTTCTGTTACAACAGCTGATTGAAGGTTATTTCGTCAGTTATGAAAATCCCGGTACACAGAGTGAATGCATAAATGCCTCGTAAAAACAAAGTTCAGTTTCAGTTTCAGTTTCAGTTTGGGAAGGACAGGAGGCTCGATGGCCTATGTTAGTCCTGGCAATGGTGGTCTCTCAGTTGATCCAACTTTCTTTTGAAAGAGTCGACGGATGGAGCCTCAACCACGTGCTGAGGTAGTGAATTCCACTCGTTGATGATTCGATGGGAAAGTCGATAGTCAGCTGACAAGTAATTTGTTCTCGGCTTATGAACTTTTTTGGAGTGTCCTCGTAAATTCTCTGTTTTGGAAGACAAGAAAAATGAGGGCATGTTAGGTGCGAATTTATCACTAAGCAATTTGTAGACTGTAATCAAGTCGCCTCTAGTTCTGCGATATGACAACGGGAAAAGGTTCAGCTTGGTCAGTCGAGATTCATACGGAAGCTTCGCTATTGCGGGAACCAGCTTAGTCGCCATTCTCTGAACCTTTTCCAGAAGCTCTCTGTCTTTTTTAAAGCAGGGGCTAGCCGCTTGTATGCAGTACTCAAGTTTAGGACGAACGAACACTGTATACAAAGTCATAAACGTCTTAGTGTCGACATGACTAAAAGCCCTACGTATTGACCATAACGTTCTAAAACTTTTGGCGGCTATTGCACGGCAGTGTGCAGTAGTCTTTAAGTCTTGACTAACGATAACTCCTAAGTCATTATATGTCTGGACGACAGGTAGCTCAGTGTTATTCATCGTGTATGTATCTGTGCCTTGATGACCGATATGCATCACAACACACTTGGAAGTATTTATCGGCAACTGCCATGTTTGAGACCATTCAGATAACTTCTTCAAGTCATTTTGAAGTTCTAAGCTATCACTCTTACATCGTATCGTTCTCCATATCTTGACATCGTCAGCATATAGCAAGACCGATGATGATAGGAGACAAGGAAGGTCATTTACATACAAGAGGAATAGCACTGGCCCCAAAACTGTACCCTGGGGCACTCCACTAAGCACAGTTTCCCAGCTAGATAACTTTGAGTTCACCCTTACTCTTTGTTGACGCCCAACTAAGAAGTCTTTTATCCACATCAATAAATTACCTCCAATCCCGACATGTCTTAACTTATATAACAGCCGGTTGTGCGGAACTTTATCAAAAGCTTTACTGAAATCAATGAAGGCGACGTCTACAGGTAGCTTTTGGTCCTTAAGAGCACACCAGCTTTCACGAGCCACTAATAAGTTAGTGAGACAAGAATAACCTATTCTGAAGCCATGCTGCTTCTCCGAGAGGATCCGGTTTTTATCGAGATACTTAAACAGCTCCTTCCGAATAATCTTTTCTAATATTTTAACAACCACACTAGTTAGGCTAACGGGGCGGTAGTTCTCAGGTTTGTGTTTCGTGCCTGTTTTGAAGACAGGACTTACTATGGCGTTTTTCCAATCTTTCGGTAAGCGACCCTGCGTAACGGATAGGTTAAAGCATGTACTTAAAGGGTTCGCAACGAAGTTAGATAATTCCTTCAGTAGCCTAGGATGTAATTCATCGGGCCCCGTGGATTTACCTATGTCAAGCTTATTTAGCAGACCAAAGACATCGAGTTCTTTAATGGTCACGCTATCCAGTGTATGTATGGGGGGATCTGTATACGCTGACGAGAAGGGCGCTTCTATGGTATACACGTTGCTAAAGTAGTTCGAGAACGCTTGAGCCTTACCAAAGTCGTCCTCCACTAATGATGAAGCAGTACTGTCTCCCCATAGAGCAGGAATATTTCCTTTTCTCCTTGTCCTTTGGTTTATATAGGAATACAAGCGTTTAGGACATTCTATGGATTCCTTAACAAGTTTTTCTTCGTACAATTTTCTAGACTTACGGAGGGTCGAGGCACAAGTGTTCCGAGCCTTTCGATACTGAGATTTTGACTCATCAGTCCCCAGTAACCTAAATCTATCCCACGTTTTCCTTTTCTTACGGAGAAGGATACGGACCTCCCTACTGAACCATGGTGGTGAGTTTTTCGGCCCCTTTGGTATAGTCCAAGGGATGTGAGGTGTGGTAACTTTTAAGTATGATTTTCGAAATGTGTCCCAGGCCGTTTCAATGGAGGACTCTGGGTCTATTGTCCAATCTATTAACGATGCTGAGTGCATGATGTCTGGTATGTTTGCTTTCCAGACGTTGGGTCTGGACTGGACTGACGCGTCCTCATGACTGGCAGTTATATGGAAGTCGAAAGTTAAAACTGCGTGGTCACTTTTACCTAAGGGTGGCATATGGTGGAGGTTCGCAACATCATCCTCATAGTGAGTCAGTATAAGATCTAATAAGGATGATTCAGTGTCCGGGTCGTACCTAGTCGCTTCTTTCACATGTTGCACTAGGGCACATGTGATAACCGCATCAACTAGTTCCTGCTCGAAGGAATTTTCTGACGATTCAGTTCGCAGATTTTCCCAGTCTACCATTGGTGCATTAAAGTCCCCTAGGATTAGACATCGACCACTTTGGGACCAAGTATTGAGACTGCTTAACAGGATCTCATTTGCCTCACAGCTTGGACTGCGATAGACCAAACCAATCAGCAGCTCTTGTCCCTTGCATTTTAAGCGAAGACTAACTAATTCACACGTCCCACTCTCATGGGATACACTATCGATAATGGTAAATGGGATAGCATTCCTAATGAATAGAGCTACTCCCCCTCCTTTGCGCTTTTGTGTCCTGTCGGCCCTTACTAACGTAAAGCCCTCGAAATCAAGTTCTATACTATCTATAGCCTGTGTCAGCCAGGTTTCTGTTACTGCGATTATATCTGGCTTTATAGAGTCAATCTGTACACCTAGTTCCGATCGCTTATTAAGTAAGCTTCGTGCATTGGTGTAACAGATCCGAAGCCTGTTTAGGTGCCTTCGTGCTTCACCCATAGTGGCTTCGGCATCATTCTCTGTCGAAGTCTTACAACCCGAAAATTTACAATTTTCAGGTCCTTTTCGCCAGCGTCTAACCTATGTTGTAGTTCTTTCTCGGCTTCCCGTCTTTTAACACGGTCTGCCAACGGTAGGTCCTTTCGGATAAAGACTCCCGAGCCCTTTAATTTGTGTCCATTTTGTAAAATTAGGTCACGTTCGTTTGAAGAGCCGAATACTACTTTAAGCAGTCTGGAATGATTTGGTTTCGAGTCCGTTAGACTCCCTAGTCTATACACCTTTAGCAAGGTGACCCCAGTCATATTCTGAGGCATGAGTTGATTAAGCAACTGCCTAATCAGTACAATATCATGCTCAAAACGAGCTTTAGGTTCAGAGCTATCGCTCTCCTTAATTCTATGAAAAATAGCTGATCTGTCGCTATGATCAGCTTTCGATTTTTCAACCAGTTTTACGGGGGCAGGTTTCCCTTTTATATCAATACTTTTCTTCCTTACAACCTTTACCCATTCGTTAACGCTGCTGGTAGAAGCAATAGCAGTTGCGTCAAAACTAGTGTTGGGTTTTGGGGGGTTGTCGACGACCTGAGGGGTCGTGTTATGTTGACCATTTGAAACCGATCGAGCCTTGCGATTGCGGCTCCTAGGTGTTTCCTGTTGGATCCCATCTGGGAGACGGGGAACAGAAGACCCTACTTTTCTTGAGCTTTTTTTTAAGGCAGACCCCTTTGGAGACTGCTTCTCCTTCTTCGACGGGCGTGAGTCATCTATCACCGGACTCATCTTAGTTTCCTTCACATTGATTTGCGTGTCAACAGATCGAGTGCTGTTTGACGCGTTCCGACTATGCTTGTTGAAACACTTCTTTGCAGCATCAACCAGTGAGATAGCCTCGGTTAACAAGCTGTTTGCATCCGAGCAGCACTGTTGACAAAGCCACACACAACCCTTCTTACTGAACCGTTTGAAAGCAGCAGGCGTTAAGTTCGTGCAAACTTCGTGGTACCAGCCTTTGCACTCGTCGCACTGCATGCCGCTTTCAACAGGATAACGACAACCCGGACGTTGGCAACTGCTTTTTTTACACTGTCCGGTCATTTAGGAGGGGTTTTTTCAATATGCGATGATACCCAGAAACAAAAAAATTATCAATGACCAAAAAAAGTGAAGAGCTGTAGATTGATAGGACCAAAAGTACTAACAGATACAGTTGAAAAAGTGGTACTAAAGAGTACCAACGACAAAACAGTAAAAACGATACTTTAGTCGAATACTTTAACTGAAATAAATTCAATTAAAGTGAAAAACAGTAGTCTTGATACGTAATAAACGATCAAAACAATGAAATTTACTCAGCGAGGAAAAATACCACTGTCCTTTTTAAATAGCGCGCAAGTTCTACAAACGCAAGAGTATAAACTATCACCACTAAAAAATCGAATATATTACGCCATTTGTTAGAATTATGATCTTCAGTTAAAAGTAAAAGCGTGCATAATGTATGTCTCTCATTCTACTCCCAGGCCACTTCACCAAAAATGATGTTGAGTGATAAGGGCCATAGTCAGTCTTCAATACAGATGCAGGCCTCAGTAGTGTCATTGGGGTCACTCACTCGATCACACTTTGAACTATATCTCGAGCGGATACGTCGTACCATTCAGCCCTAGCAACTGTTAGTCAGCTTAAATCAGTCGCTTCTTGATATATCGGAGACTTTCCAAATATATCATTAGACGCATTCACCCCTGACTTATTGTTTGACTGAGATTATATCTTTCGGTCGTAAAGGTGTTATGCACTCAAGTGTTGTAAAGCTCAAAATACCTGTAGCATATTTAGTATCACAGATGGGTCATACCTAAAAAAATCTCTTTAAGACTGTCTTAAGTGTTATTTGGCAATAATAATCCAAAAGAATAAGGAAAATTTGGAAAATATGATTTTCATCTACTGTAAACCTTCATACATTAGCATAGCACCAGTTTTCCGATGGAAGCTTCACATCCCTCGTTAAAAATAAGCGCTGTATTGTGTTTTTTT